CTATTCCTAAACTTCATGCATATTCACTCGATTGCATTAACTTTGCCAGCAATTGTTTTAAGAAAGTTATTCAAAATTCTCACCAACCAAGGGAAGCTACATGCCTTTATGAGTTACTAAACAAAAGACTTAATATATAAACAAAAAGATTAGCCATCTTTTTCCTAGATTGGGAATGTAAACAGAAGTTCACCACAGTTGTCTGTCCAGTTATTTATTAATTGTTCCACAATAGTACTAAAGTGCAAACCAAACCAAAGTACCAAAAGAAGTCGGAACTGAAAGAATGACAAAATTAAGGACGTTTTTCAAAGATCTCCTTTACCCTTCCAGGTCACTTAATTCTCCAAGACCCCTGGTCAATATCGGAGTAAACTTTATATTCCCAGTTTTCCTCCAAACCCAACTCCTTTTCTTCTCTAGTCTAAGATACTCCTTACCTCCCTTAACACACAGCTTCTGCCCATTATTGTTTTATTCCCTATAAACATAGGGATCAAATTTCCCCCTTTGGATTATAAGGTCCAAATCATCCCAATGTTCTCCAGCTAGTGTATTTCCTAGCAGATCACACTCAGGCTCTATGAATATAGTCTTCATGTTATTAAGACCACCACATTATTCCTCCAGGTAACAAGGTAAAGGTTGGCTGGGAGCTTTCATTTTTGTCAACATACGTGTGTGGGAAGCTACTTCTGTACAACTGAAGAACCGCAGCAGCTGACCAGTCATTATACAGTGTTGACACATTTCTCTGTTGCTGAAAAGTACTGAAATACCGTCAAGACTAGCATGGCACGTAGTATCATATGAGAAAGAATTGTTACAACTCGTCACCTCGCCAGCTGACCATGAAACTCTGTGGCTTTATGTGACCTAAATGTATTCCATAAATGTTAACTAATTTGCAGCTAAGTTTAAAGTGCTTTTAGTATTTAACACCTTTTTAGTTTAGGTAGTGACTTTCTAATTTACTTGTAAAATAAAATTTCAATGTTTAGGCAGACTTTGAAGACAGGGATTCTTAACCTAGGGTCCATTAGGTTGAGTTTTTTACTGAGGTCAGGTGGGAGTTTCTTGTGAGCATATATTTGCGCGCACATACGTTCCTACTAATGTATGGTGCTGGGGAGACTATGATTCTATAGTCAGCTGCCCAGAGTTGGTAGTGACCCTAAACATGTTACACCGTTCTTCCCTGGAGGGGGCCAAAGGTTCATCAATAATTCAAGTAGAACACACTTAAGTGAGTCTGACTCACATATAGTGGGGACCTTCTGAAAAAAGCAGAACAGGTACAAAGCAGCAGAAGAAAGGAATATACCCTATATTGTAGTAATCTCTTAAAATCAAATGAAATCTTAGAGAATCTTTTTTAGACTTTTTTCTTTTTATATAAAGGGTAAGAAAACAGAATTCCCAGATGCTGTTTACAGGCTACTGTTCATCTTAAGAAATTATGAAGGACATAGAAAACATAACAAGGGGCACAAACCCAACATTTTCCTCAAAATCTATCAGGAATTCTTTATCATTTCACAAAAGGAACAAACAGAACAGCAAACCACCAGACCGCTCCTCTTAAATACCAGAAGGGATCCCGTAACAGAAACATTCTGACATAACCTCATGCAACATGATGCATGGATCATATCACAGCACTAACAAAGGGACCTTGCATCACATTTTAAATATGAAATCCTGTCACTATGTATCACAGAAAACACACAAACCATAAAACTCAAGAACAATTCTTCAAATGTAGTTTACTCTAAAAACCTAACTTTGAATTTCAGAAGCTCATTTTTTTTAAGCAAAGTTCTTCAGTTTAACAAGAAGCTATGGATTTGGAAGCTAGGGACTGTGTCTGTCTTCACAAGGCCACACGGCTAACTGTCACCCAGTTCAGGCTTCACTGCTAATGGCATGTAAACACAAAATGCCAGAGACCAGGAATGAACAAGTTTTGCCTCTCACCTGATTAGTGAAATACAGAAAACGCAATGTGAGGGAGAAATATTCTTATCATTGTTTCCAATTTTTTAAAAACACTAAAAATTTTAAGCACAGATTTTTCACATTTTCACGTTCCATTATTGAAATACCTCACAAATTACTGACCAGCATGTGCTAAGTTATGGGGGTCCTTAACCTGAATGTCAGTGCACAAATGAAATGCGAAGCAGTTGCCTAGTTCCCACCCTAATATCCGAAAAGGAAAAACCTTAATTTTATAATGATCATATTCAAATACATTCCACAGAAGGAAAAAAAAGGTGGTGGTGGGGGGGGTTATAAAAAAAAGTTAGGGTTAACTTAGAATGGACAAATCATCTGCGCAGAGATCAACAGTTGAATTTCAATGCAGTATCAGCAAGATTCCACTTAACACTCTTGTTCAAGAAAATGACTTAGCAAGTAACTTAGGCAACGAAAAAACTAATTTACTTTTCCTAACCATGAGTAGATATTTCTCTACAGAGAAGTCCATGATTATGCTTAATATACTTTTATCATTTCCCTACAACAGTATAATATACAAAAAACAGCAGAGCCTTAAAGACACATTCTATACATTAATATTTTTACTCCTAATTCCTCAGCATCTGTGGCCACTAAATTTCAAAGCACAATTTTCTCAAGACGTTACACAGCCAGCTACAATTTTTTCTCCATCTTTAAAAGTTCACGTATTTACTAACTTTCCAACACCTTTTCTGCATCTTCAACATTTACGTGTCTGAGCTCTTATCTTCTAATATCTGTACTTTCAACTTTTTGAAACGTTATTAAACTATCATTTAACAATACTTTTTTCTACCAAAATGTTCAAGACCCCTTTTATTTGTGTCATATTGTTATTTCATTACAACCTTTTTGAGGCAAAAGATACTGAAAAAAAAATGTTGGAATCTGATTTAAAATGAAGCCTCCCTAAGTCATCTTTGTGGAATATTTAGGATGGCTAATCTAACTTCAATAAAACATGTTGTAATTTACATAATACCAAATTTCTATTCTTCCATATAATGCACTTCAAATATACACACAAAAATATTTGACCAATTTTCAAATAAAATAAACCTAGAAACATGAGATACTTAAAACAAACACACACACACACACACAAAATACAAGTCCCTAGAGCTGCAGGTTATACCAGTGATGTTGACTATTTTACGAAAATATAGTTAACAGAAAAATCTGAAAAACGTGACTGGATGTTAAGTGATATCACCTTTCTTCAATTTTGTGATTAACAGGTATTTTATTGGTAGTAAACTAGAGCAAACAATCAGAATAATACATATGCAGTATTCAGTACACACAGTAAAAGAAATTCAAAACCTGTAAAAAAACTAAACACTGGAGAAAAATCACACAGCTTCTGAGATACAGTGGTGGGGATCCTCGCCATCCTCTGATCACAGCTTGTACCCAACAGAACTTACAGCGCTTACCAAAATAATACAGACTTTTTAGTATTGAGCATATTTAAAAGGATTAAACACATCTAAGAATCTTGCAACAATAAACAGGTGACCCTTTCGCTGGTAAAGCAGATTTAAGGGAGGAAAGTGGGGAATGGTAATTAACTAGTATTTTGTAACCATTTTTAATAATTTCTTATCCAAACACTGCTTTCATAACAGAAGTGTTTTACATTTGCACAATATTAATTACTTTATTATACATGGAAGCCGTGGTAGGCTGGTCATACAATAGGACTGCAAACAGCCAGTGGTACTTTTCTGTTGTCAGAAGAGTACATAAGACTGAAACATCACAGAAGTACATAAAAAACTCATCAGCATCAACATCAAAGTACATTAAAAAATATAGTCAGGAAAAAAATACAATTGCTAAAAAGTGGTTTAGAGCAGAGCCACTGTCTACCAGTAGCTTCAAATGGCAATTAACGTTCATAGCAAGTTTTGATGACTTTACAAGACCCCTGTACAATACTGACTAATGCACCCTTTTAAATTGTACATTACAGGCTGCCATTTCACAAAGAGGTTCTGTCATTACTAGACGCAGACACACTCATCCCTCACATCAGCTATGCCCACAGCTGGAATTACCTTAATAATAATCTATAAACTCTGAGTTTGTGGGGCTTTATTATACATGGAAATCTGTATATGAGTTTTGCTTTTTTAAAAAAGGTAGGGGGAGAAATTTAGTCTATCGTTTAGCATTTGGATGCCACATAAAGACATGTAAAATGCATAATGGATTACCTATTGGAATGTAAGCCGTTCTAAAATTGAAACTGTCAATATAGGGAGAAGAGGGAACAGGAAAGCCTAGAACTCTAGAAAAAGGATAGGTTAAGAACAAAAAAACAAGTGTGGGTGACAGGTAGTAACACAGACGAGAGAGCAATGTCTTTAGGCCATGTATAATAAATAATGCATACCCCAAATTTCCAAGAATTATGTAATTCCAACTTGGGTTATAATACTAGAACCAGTCACCCACTTGGGCTTAGACACCGTGCTAGATGTCAGGAGACTCCTGATGGACTACAGCCTTGTTGCAGTTGGGGTAAGGAGAGGGTGCTTTTTTTCTTCTTCTTTTATTAAAGCTATCATTCCAGGCTTTGATCAAAGATCCAAGAATATTTGTTCTACCAGGCTGGAATGAATGTGGTCTGGAAGTTCAGAGTACATTTAAAAGCTGCAACAAAATATAAGTAGCCATCATCTCAGACTTTTGGATCAGCCCAGATGGAGACAGCAATTTGAAATGTTTTTGATCCCTTACTTAAATGATGAAATGTATTATCCTATCAGCCCAGACAGAGCAGTTTGAAATGTTTTCGATCCCTTACTCAAATGATGAAACGTACATCATACTACCTGTAAGCTGGATATCCCATTACAGTGATAACGTACAGAATTCCCATGCGTTATTAGTTTCCTGAGAGTAAAGCAATTAGAATAACCTTAATCCTAGCAACAAAGTATTTTTTTGTGTTTTTTGTTTTGTTTGGTTTTTTTGNTCCCTGATGACCTATACATGTAAATCTGATTGCTAAACATTGTCACTTTGAATGTCAAACTATTTTTAATCTATCGATTTTGATTAAAAATCATAATACAAACAGAGCTAAAATCACACTAACAAAAAACTAAATATGAAAAGTTGCATTGAAAGGGCATTACATTATTCTTAATAGGATCGTGTATAAACATTCCAATGGCAGTGTTCTCAACATAAAACAAAATTACATTAGAAGACCCCCAGCCTGGTCACTCTGGAGACCTTACCTGTAACTCTGGCTGGTGGGCGTCTTTACTCTTGCACTACATGGCTCACTTACATCAGACATCATGTTTGTATACCCTGAGAAATCTGACACTGAAGTCCTTACTCTATGGTCCACTTCTCCGTTAGAGTTAGTGATAAAGGTCATTGGCACCCTGCTGCCCGACTTAAACTGAGAACCAAACGCTTGTGCAAAGTTCTCGATCTGGTACGTTGTTCTAGGCTCTAAGTCTTTCTGAGGATCTATCTGGCTGGCCAGCTCCTGAGACGGGATCTGGAAGCTTGCTGAGGACTCCAAGTTCTTCTGTTCTTCCTTTTGGCTAGGCAGTTTCTGAGATGAGGACTGGAAGGCTGACGACGTCTCTAAATTCTTCTGAGAATCGATCAGGTCATCCAGCTCCTGGGAAGGTGTCAGCTGCTGGTGGGTGGCATCCAGAGCAGATAAGTAAAGACCCGGCTGAGATCCAAACAACATACCAAAGGGAGGCTTTGGCAGTGAAGATGGCAACACTGAGGTGACAGACGGGCCGAAACCACACTCCAGGGGAGATGTAGTGTATATCTGTTTTTCTGGAAACAAAGTGTGGTTGTAGAGCGGTGACGACAAACTGACAAACTGGAAACCGTGTCCAAGAGCAAAACCTGCATTCGTGGATTTTTCAAAAGCCTGCTGGAGGTATTTGGAGCATTCTTGCAACACGCTTGCCTTATCACTTGAGGGGGTTTGAGTGCCTGGGCTCAAATTATCTTCTTGAACCAAGTCTGAGTGTTCTCCTGAGGTGTGTAAATCCACACGTGGTTCTGTTATATTGAAAGGATCCTCTTTCTGGCTCTCTGACTTACTGGAGTATTGATCCAGAATGCTTTGCAAGACCTCATCAGGAATTCCAGACTTGTCATGACAAGACTTAATCTCAGCATTGAGTGCTGAGGAGTCAATAAGTGACAGTGGGGCCTCACTGTCCAGAACACTGACACCTGCAGACTGGATGACAGACTGCTGGGAGACCATGTGTCCTACATTTACAGAAAAGGCACTATTGCTGCTGGCTGTCGGCAAATACCTTCTTTTCTTTGAAAACTGCATGGCATCGTCGTAATTGCTACTTATCGGACCTTGTTTGCCACTTGCACTTTGGAGAAGACTAATGGTCTCCACACTGTTACTCGACCCTATGCCAAGGGAGCCGCCCACTTTCCCAGACAAGGACTTCGGTCCAATGATGTCTGGTAAGGGGGACACAAAATTAAGGTAGTTTTTATCTGTACTCTTTCTGCTTCCTTTCTTAAAGATCAGTTTTGGCACCCTTTTCTGTAGTTCTTCCATGCCCGGGCCAATTATGCCTCCGCTAGAAGACACAATGGGCATTTCTACAGAGTAACTCGGCACATTTATACTATTTGGAATTTGTGACTCATTTGCTTTACCAGTCTTATGTTCCTTATTTTCCATAGCTATGCTTTTTGACTTCGCTTTTCTCCTTGAAGAACTTGTATTTCCCTGAGACAACACAGCCATATCACCCATATTGTTGTGGTTTGAGGGCCCAGGCTCTGCACCGGCGGCTCCTTTGGCCAGGGCTTCGCCGCACGTGCGCCTGTGCTTCAACAGTCTGTCGGTCCTTGAAAAATACTGTTGGCAAGTGTCGCACTTATATGGCTTTTCTCCACTATGTGTCCTCTTGTGTCTCTCCATATGGTACTTCTGAATGAACTTCATGCTGCACTGGTCGCACCCGAATGGCTTCTCTCTGCTGTGGATCTTCTCGTGTCTCTGCAGCAGGTACTTCTGAATGAAGCCCATACTACACTGGCTGCACTGGAAAGGCCTCTCCCCCGTGTGGATGAGGACGTGTCTCCGCAGGTGGTAGGAGCTTCTGAAAGCAGCGCTGCAGTGATCGCAGATATGAGGTTTCTGACTCGGGGAGAGCACGGCGCCCTCGCCATCTCCCACCAGCGGAGGTCTGGAAGACGCGCTCGGCTTCCTCTTGGCTTTGATTCCCTGAGATTCCGGCTTTGGCCTCTTCGCCTTCTTGACGTGGGCGTCCTGCTTTGGCTCCTCGCTGCCGCGGTGGTCGCCGGCCCTGCCGCCGAGCAGCACGTCGCGGGCGTGCGGGGCGGGCTGCGGGCCGTGCTGGTGCAGGGCGCCGAGGTCCTGCACGACGCCGGCGCCGCCCGCCTCGCCGCCCAGGCCCGGGGGCCGCCCGTCCGCGCCCGCGAACAGCCCCCCGTAGTGGGGCGGCGGCTCCTCGGGGTCCGCGGGCTTCTCCTGCTTGATGCTGACCAGCGATTGCAGGAAGCCCCAGGAGGCCCTGTGCGCGGGGAAGGCCGCGGCCGGCGCCGCCGGCTCCTTCTTGAAAGTCACGTCCGGGGCCGGCGGGGGCTCGGCCGGGGCCGCGGGCGCGGAGGCGGCGAGCACGCACTGCGCGGGGGGCGCGGCCGGGCCGGCCGGCCGGGCGAAGCTGGCGACCGGGGGCAGCCGGTGGTTGAACATGACCAGACCCTGGGGGAAGCTGGGCTCCATGGCCGCGCGCCCGCCGCCGCCGGCGCCGCTGCTGCCGGGGCCGCCGCTCAGGAAGCCGCCGCCGACTTTCATGCCCCGCGGGAGCCCGGCTGCGGAGAGGGGAGAGGGGGAGGAGGCTCGCGGGGGCCCCGCCGCCCGCCCGCCCGCGCCCGCGCGCCCCTCCCCGCCGCCGCCCGGCGCGCGCCCCGCGGTCGCCCGGGCCTCCCCCGCCCGCCCGGCCCGCCGGCCCGCCGGCCCGCCGGCCACACTCACGGGTCCCGCCGCCGCCGCCGCCGCCGACGCCGCCGTCGCCTCCAGTTAATAAAAATAACGCCGTCCTCTCCACAATGGAATTAAAAGGCTCTCCCGTCCTGCGCAGCCGCGGCGCGGTGTCTGCCGGGAACTCTTCGACCCGGCCGGAGGCGAGCTCCGCGGAGCCAGGGCGCCTGCGCCGCAGCTTCCGCCCGGCCTGCCTGTCAGTCACCGGGCGGTTGGGCGGAGGGGCGGTACGGGGGCCGAGGGGCGGGGACTCGGAGCCCCTCTAAGAGACGGCCTCGGAGCGGGGAGGGCGTGATTGGTGGGCCTCCCCGAAGGGGGCGGGCGTGGGCGAGGGCTTCTGGGGGAAAGACGCTGGCAGGGGGAAGCCCAGGCGGGAAGTTGCGCGGGCCGGGTTCGCAGCGTGGCGGGGAGTTGGAGGGGGCCTGGTGGGGAAACTGAGGCCTGGCGCCTGGGGCGCTCTCTGCTTTGCAGTTTGCAGTCTGGGTATTAAATCAAATCCAAATCCAGAAGTGGGTCACTTAGGACCCTTTCGTTATACCTAAAAGCATTCAACGTCAAATGCTTAACGTTTATTTAAAAAGATTGTTTCTGTTACCCCTCTTAGTTTGGGTGAACTTTAATAATGGGCGCGTATCCCTTTGCATTTATCAGAGGAATCTACTTGGAAACCGCAATAGAGGTACCGTTGCAAAAAAAAAAAAAAGTTGTCTTACTGCCAACCTACCTGAAGGCTACTGGAAAAGGAAACCGCGTGTAATCCAGGTGCAGCCTCCCTATAAAACACGCCCACACACACAATTCACCATCGTCAGATGCTATTTAAATGCCCACATGCCTTCTCTGTCTGGCTAATGAGCGCGTTTGCGGTTTATAATGCTGCCTGGTCCCTTATGTTACTTATCAAAAATTGACTTCTAAGAACTCTGCCAGGATCCACTCTGCCCTCCCCCAATATAGAATACTCAGAAACAAATACAAAATTATTAATTTTTCTCCTAAGGGAAAATTACAAAATAAAATCTTGAAATGAGAGCTAGGTCAACAAAAATCAAACATAGTTATTCAGTGCCAAATGCACACAAGGCACTCACTTCCATGTTAAGCATGCAAAAATCTAAACCAGCAACTTTTCTAGTAAAGAGTATGTATAAATTGCACTTTTTCATAAAAGAACTAGAACCAGTGACAATAACTTATTTACATAGCATATGTTCTTAATGAAATTACAAGCCAGTTTTCTCAATATTTCTAGCTAAATAACTCCTTGTAATTAAATAATAAATGACTTCCTTGAGAAATTTCACAATTAAAACCATAAAGATTATTAACTAATCCTTACAGGCCTCTCTAAGTCTGTTCAAAAACTTTAAAGACAATATTTAATGAGCATTGTGAGACATGAAATAGTATTTTTCTAACTCCATACAACTACATATAAGCATTCTGCCACTTAAACTATGAAACGTTAATACTGTCAAGTACAGCTAAGTGTTAAAAGAAAGACTGAAAATTCAAAAACTTAAGGCAGTAGTAAAATATTAGTCAATACCTATGAGAAATGAGGCTGTCCCTTTATTCAGGGTGTCAGTGTTTAATGGTGAGCTGGGATGCATATGAGCTAGTCCAAGTGTGAAGGGCAATAGGACACTCATATGAAAAGCCAACTTTGTCCCTCAGTTATCAAGATAAGAAACCTGTCATTTCTCTCATTCACTCTGTCAGCCTTGAGATACTCCAAGCAGACTTACCTCTGTGTTGTATACCCCATATATCAGGAAGATAAAGAGACCCTGTAAAATAAAATGGAGAGAAAAAGCTGTTAGCACTAATCATTTCAGCAGTAGAAATACCTGAAATAAACTTTCCTGGGAACAGACAAAAGAAGACACACTTCATCAAGGTCAATTTATTTTTCTATTTTTCAGCATTAGAAGCTGTACCTTGAGCATTTGTAAGATAACATACCAGCTCATCACTTAACCGTGGCTGCGCTAGTCAATTCTTTAGGAAGAGAAAATAAAAATACCAAGCCAGGTACAGAGAATATTAATTGGAAAAATCAATATGCCAGTCTCTGAAAGACAACTGGGTAATGAAAAAATTAAACTCAGAAAATGCCATCAAAGTAATCATAGAGGTAGTACTAAGCACCAGTATTTCTAAGCACTGTTTAGACTACTAGAATATATTTGTTACAGTCTTCAATGGGGTAAAAAAAATTTTTTAATATTAAAGTATAGGACAGCTAAGAGGATAAACTTAGGGTAATAGGATGAATAGTTTTTATATAAAATTTAAAATACCAGTTCAAGTTAAGAAAAATTTTCACATTATCAGCTATTGTAAAATTTTTATTGTATCATATATATAATAGTTCCAAAGATCTGCTATTTATTAGTCCTTAGCTTAAATAACTAATTGTAATATATGCTAAATCTCAAATCTTAAAATTTTAAAGTAAATAAAACTGATATGGTTAAATGTATTAGAGATAACACAGGGCAAGCAATTTTCCATGTGTTTTTGCCTTACAGAAGAAATAAAAATCTATATTGTACAGTTTTTGTTAGGTACTAATAAGCCAAATATTAAATAGTAGTCTGGACAGAAATCTGGAAATAGCTCAAAAAATTAAGTAATATGACATTTTCAAAAGGAAAATATAGGAATATATTAGCATTTGTTTTACCTCTGAATACTTATATCTTACAGATAATGGAAACAGTCCTACAATAAGGAGACTGAATAAAACAGGAGTTTTATTCTTGTTAATTTATTTTTAAATAAACTTTATTTTTTAAGAATAATTTTAAATTTGCAGAAAAATTGAAAAGCTACTACCTAGAGTTTGCATATATCCTGTATCCAGTTTCCTCCATTATCAACATTTTACATTATATGGTAGGTTTGTTACAATTAATCTCACTAGTTTTCAATACTACTACTATCTACATAATTTCAGAAGCAGTCCATGTATTTGTATTAATAAGAAAATTCAATGAAAAGTTTTCAACAATCAAAAATTTCCACTTGGGTCATAACCTTTTAAAAATTCAAGCATAGTGAGAATTTTTTCACTATATATAAAATGTCCCAAGGTTAGCTCAGTGCCAACACTCAATTCCACTTTCAAGTAACCTTCATCACAAGAAGTAAATTCATTACAAGAGTGAATTCAGGCTTCTTAGATGGTATTCATTTTATAAGTTACTTGTTTGCCTGTATTCTAAATAACTGAAGAAAAAATTTTCTTCTCTGATTTATGAAAAAAAAATAAGACAATAGTTTCCCTTCCCTTAGTAATTGCTTATTCTTTATTTCATGTAATGTTACATAGGTATAAAATTAAGAGTAGGTCACTCAAATTTTAATTCTATTTATGAGAATGGAGTATTTTGTGCAATAGATGAGTTCCTAATTAAATACAGTTTTCTGTATGTTAAACAATGTGCACTATTTTTATATGTCAAGAAACTTGCTGTTCACATGAAATCTATATTGTGCTTTGAAAATTAAAGAGCCCTTCTGTAATGTGTATAATCACTCCTGTCATATACTGGTTTTGTAAATTCACTTTTCTCTAAAAGAAAATGAAAATCACATTTTTCCCCATGTCTTGATGAAGCAAGGAGAATATGGAATATGTCCCAATATTTTTATTTGCTGCATTTCCATGTTACTTGTTAAATGTTTAAAATCTTAATACATTTAGCCTTTTAAAGTAATGTAAAATGATCAACAACAAATATCTCCCTTTTGAAAAAAGGGTTTAGACAGAAAAAAGATTTTAAATAGAGGCAATTTCAGTATCAATAGTTTTTTCTCTTTCTCCTTTTCCTTCCACAGATGCATGTGAGCAAGCCCCAAAGGGTGACTTCTACCGATCCTGAAAGAGTCTGAAACTTGAAATCACTCCAGTGAATCCCTGCCCTTCTTTTCTTGGGTCCTCTAACTGATGCTGTCACCACCGGTTGAAAGGTAAAACATTACTAATAACAATTGATGTAACTGTACGCTTCGCACATGATGACTTTTTCCCCACTGATTTTGCCAGCTACTGACATTTGGGAAAATTCAGACCTGATTCTACAGAAACTTCATAAACCCTTCACAACTGGATAAACAAACCTCCCATTTTCTCTGTTTTCCAAAGGGAAGGATCAAAACAGAAACCGCTAAGCATAAAAATCTTAAGCCATAGCTCTGAGCCACTTTTAAATCCCTGCAAAGCAAGTACCTTTAAGAACAGCTGGAAGGAACCAACTGCCACACTTCAACTGGCAGAGATTTCTGGAACTCCTTCTGCCAATGCTCTCTCCTACCAACAGGGAATGCTCGAAATGTGTCATGCTTCTGAAAAGAATGGTCCCTTGAGTGCATGAGGCGTTTGTACTACTCCACCCAGAGACATACCCACCCCTAATACACATGGACTGTTTATCTACAGAGGTACCAATTTCGCGATGTGTTAGTCACGGTAAAAATAACAGAAATAGCATCTCAGGGGTAGCTGATTCCTGTAGCCTATGTGTATTTTGTGGGCAGGAGCCAGGACTAGGGAAAGAACCCCAGGATATTACATCTGATACTGTAGAGGAGCTAAAAATAGAAGCTTAAGGGAAAGGTAAGGGGGAGACCATACTCTATTATTCTATTCTCATTTTTCTGTGAGATATTAAAAACTGAGGCAGCTTTACAAATATTTTCAATGTTGTAGAAGTCCATTGAACAATGTCTGTGGATAGAGTCAATGGCTGACATCTAGGCTGTTATTTTTATATTGATTGTTTTGTACTTTCATAGTGCACGTCATGACTGCTACAAAATCAATCTTCTTTCAAGTGGTAATGTGTTCTTTCCTGGCCATACAAAGAACAGGAAAGGTGCCACCATATACAGTAGGTTGCCTACTCAAGAATCAGAATAATATTAACAATGCTAACAAATGTATAGCTCTCTCCAAGCGTATTCATTTACAAATGCCGTTAGTTCCTCACTATAATACTGCAAAGTAGGCAGCATGAGTATTATTAGCTTTATTTTATACATGGGGATTTTGAGGCTTGATTAAAGTATCGCATGCTGACAGGTAGGCAGGACCAGGGACGAGCGCTCTGACTCCTGATGGGACGCTCTTTCTCACATGCTGCCTTGATACACACCTTCATGACTCTTTTAAGTCATCAGGTTCAAGATAATGAATTGGTGAGATGTTCCAAAGCTGAGGTTTGTGGAAAGTATCTTGCAATTTGATTAGGTCATAAGGTCAGGGACTCAGTATTCAGTAATAGGGTTTCAAATGACCCTGGTCCTCTTCCAGTCTAAGAGGGCCTAGCAAATACAACAGGAAACACGCTTTGCTGCAATGATTATCAGTTGCTATGTGCCAGGTTCTGTCTTCTGTACTTTGCTTACAAATTCTCATTCAATGATGTATACTTGCTAGTTGCTGGGAAACATATCTTTTCCCATCAAAAGGCTGCTAGGTAACCACACAGTCAAATATCTTTTGACTGTGATCATTTACTGAACTTCTCTGAACAGTAACTATGATCATTACTGAACAGTAACTATGATCATTTACCGAACTTCTCTGAATATAAGGCCCTATGCTATGTGCTTTTATTTATTTATAGATCATGCTCCAAGCTACCTTCTATGAACAGTTTCCATTTGGGGAACTAAACCCCACAGAAACAAAAGCATTTGTATACAAGGATTGGCCTAGTGGAGACTGCCTGTTGCCCCAGTGTGTGTAGTGACACAGAACTGGAAATAACCTGGATGCCTTCAGCACAGGAATGGCGGAATGAATTGTGCCCCCTTCCTCCCCCTGTGGTATCAGGCAGCTGGAAGCATGAGTGAGAGCCGCTTGTTAGCCTGGAGAGGCCTCCATGCACTGTTAAATGAGAAAAGCAATAGGAAAAGACACGTGTGTTACATACTCTCATTTTTGTAAGACAAATAACAAGACTTTCCCTTCCGCCTGCCCAAAGGCAACAGATCGAACTGGAGAAAGGTGTGGAAAGATGTGCACCAGGCTGTGGTCACGGGTTTCTCAGCGAAAGGGATGAGAGGGGGAGGAGGTAAATCAGAAACAAGTGAGCCAGAAGCAATCTAGAAGAACACGCGTGACCTGACCAGCAGAAGCGGGAGTATAAGATGCTGTGGAGCATAATACTGTAAATATAGGAAACAGAACTGGGCCTGGAAGAGGGCCTACATACAAGGAGAACAAGCAAAATGCCGATGTGACTTGGGGATAAGATTGTGGGATTTTTTTAAATCGATTCTTATTATTTTTTAAATAAAGACTACAATGAACAACATAAAAGGTCTAAGTGGGTTTATGTAAAATTTAATTTAAAAGTGGTTTGTATTTTAAATATAAATACATGTTCAGTGTGATCAGTAAACTAAAACAAATATAAATTAGGTTCTACAGTAGCACAAATAATTTTACCAGGGAGGGAGGGGGAATTGTGGAAGGGGGGCTACAGTCTGTTAAGTGATGGCTTCTTCTGTGTTACGCATTTGATTTGATAATTTTCTGGACGTCTGATTCTTGCAGTAGGAGAAGTGACCGGGGAGACAGCTGGGAAAAGAACATTTCAGAGGGAGACCCCAGGAAAGCAGGACTTGGGGAGAGCACAGAGCTCTCCGGAGGACTGCAAGGGGCTCGGAATTGCTAGAGCAAGTGGTTTTCGAGGGAGAGAGGGGCAGCTGATGAGACCAGAGCGGGGCGGCTCGCGCAAGGCCTCGTACCTCATGTCAAGGAATTCAACTTTTCTTCTCTAGGAAAAGGGAATCATTAGAGTTTAATCAGGAAAGGGATGTCATGAGGTTTTTGGCTTTTTTTTTTAAGTAACTCTAGTAGCAGCGAGGGAGGAGGATTAAAGCCTCACGCATTAGGAGGCAGTGCAAACAGGAAGCCACAGGCCACGTAGGAGAATCAAAACCAAAGAAATGGCTCTGAGAGTTGAGAGCTGCTTACGAGGGACGATCAAGTAGGCATGGATGCTGGCTGGTTGGGGAGGGAGGAGAGAGCTGAGCTACAGATGATTCTGAGATTTTTGGTTTCAGTGATGGGTGGGTGGCAGTACCACTTTCTAAGATGGTGAGTTAAATGGGAAAAAACGCGTGTTTGGGGGGAAAAAATAAATTATTACTTCATCTCTGTTGAATGTGAGTGGGTTCCAGTGAGCCACTGGACACACGAGCTTGAGCCTTAGGGGGAATGTCTGGGACCAAGAGATGGATCTGGGAATCGTCAGAGTAAGCGTGGAAATGGAAGCCGTCAACTGGGAGCGTGTAAAGTGAATAAAGGCAGTGGCCTGGGACAGCGTTCTGGGAAGTGTCGTCTCTGCTTCAGAGACAAGCAGAAGGCAAAGGACCGCGGAAGGGGGAGTCAGAGGTTAAAAGAGGGTGTTTCCATAGAAGCCGGTGGAAGGGATGTTCCAGGAGGAGGACCTGCTGGTGGCAACACAGCTACAGGCAGAGATGGGAAACCAGAGCGCCGAGCCCCGTGCCAGCTCTGCTCCTTACTAACACGTGCTCTTGGGCAGCTTCTAAACATCCCTGTTCCTCGCTTTCATCATTTATAGAATGCCCACAATAACTGTACCTGTCTCACAGGATTGTTATGAAATTAAATGAGTCAGTATTTGTGACGTGTTCAGGGCAGTGCCTGGCACAAAGTAACTGCTGTGTGAGTGTTTGATCAATTGTCACAGTCAAATCAAATAAGGAAAGACCTGAAAATGCCATTGGATTTGGAGGTTGTTCATTCATTCTGTCTCTATTTGAGTACCTCCTATATGTCAGGCACAGAGGACACAGTCAGGAGCAACACACTGAACTTGCCCTTGATGGAGCTTATATTCTGATGGGTGGCCTATTGAATGCATGCTCTGTGCACTGTTCTGGTCAGCTGACAAGCATTCCCTCACCCATCCCTCACAGTCACCCCGAGATGTCGGCACCATGATCATCCCCGTATCACAGATCAGAAGGGTGAGCAGCCCAGGGGAGCTCAGCAAGCTCCCAGAGCAGGGAGGTGGAAGCAGGATTTGAACAGAGCCCAACTGGCTCGGGGGAGCTTCTCATCTCCAGGTGGCTGCTGGCGACCTGGCGACACTGGCTTCCGAGGCCCGGTGGGGACAAAGTCCTGGCTGCAGTAAGCCAAGCATTGGTTAATCAAGAGAGAGGTGAAGGCATTTCCACAGAGAACCAAACCGAGAAGTCCAGGCATGTGGATGTGGGGGGTTTATTCTGTCTGAGGGAGAGTAGGAGACGCTCAAGGATTAAACGCTAAGCATGCCCACTATTTACCACAGCCAAGCTATGGAAGCAAGCTAAGTGTCCATCAGTAGATGAATGGATAAAGAAGATGTGGTACATATACACAATGGAATATTATTCAGCCATAAGAAGAAAACAAATCCTGCCGTTTGCAACAACATGGATGGAGCTGGAGGACATTATGCTCAGTGAAATAAGCCAGGTAGAGAAAGACAAGTGCCAAATGATTTCCCTCATTAGTGGAGTATAACAATGAAGCAAAACTGAAGGAACAAAATAGCAGCAGACTCAGAGACTCCAAGAAGGGACTAGTGGTTACCAAAGGGGAGGGCTGGGGGAGGGCAGGTGGGGAGGGAGGGAGAAGGGGACTGAGGGGTATCATGTTTAGTACACATGGTGTGGGGGATCATAGGGAGAAGAGTGTGTCACAGAGTAGGGACATAGTGGATCTCTGGCAACTTGCTGCACTGATGGACAGTGACTGCACTGGGGTGTGGGTGGGGACTTGATAATATGGGTAAATGTAGTAACCACATTGTTTTTTCATGTGAAACCTTCATAAGAGTGTATATCAATCATACCTTAATTAAAAAAAAAATATTAAGCATGTCCTTTGATCAAGTCTCCCTCAAATATGTTTCCACGATTCCTGTGCAGTGCGCTGGGTAGCAGTCAATTTGTGATCAAGATCTGCAGTGAATGCCTGGAGGGTATATAACTGGTATTTTTGCTGGGTCAGTATAATTTAAATATCAGAGCCACATGTGGCAGAACTGCATTCTATTACAAAAATCAAAGAAGATGGAGATGTATTCTCAACCAAATTTAAGATCACTAAAGGCTGAAGATGAGAGAGCAGAATTTTTTGGCAAATGTAAAAATAATCTAAAGAGCAATCTTACCTTTTCTTGGTCTGGTTCAGAACTGCATTTTTAACACGCTCCCTAGTTGTTCTGATGCACAATGAAGATTAGGAATTATTCTGACTCTATT